GTGAAGGTCATTCATTTGAACACACTTTGTAGTCTTTCATCTCAGCATGCTACTGGCCAAATATCATCACCCTGGGAATTTTGGTTATTNATTTGACCCCTGTGACCTTGAATATGGGTGAAGGTCATACATTTGAACAAAATTTGTAGCCCTTCATCTCAGCATGCTACTGGCCAGATATCATCACCCTGGGCATTTTGGTTATTGAGAAGAAGTTGTTTAAAGTTTTTAACATATTTGACCCCTGTGACCTTGAATATGGGTGAAGGTCAAACATTTGAACAAAATTGGTAGCCCTTCATCTCAGCATGCTACTAGCCAGATATCATCACCCTGGGCATTTTGGTTATTGAGAGGAAGTTGTTTAAAGTTTTTAACATATTTGACCCCTGTGACCTTGAATATGGGTGAAGGTCATACATTTGAACAAAATTGGTAGCCCTTCATCTCAGCATGCTACTAGCCAGATATCATCACCCTGGGCATTTTGGTTATTGAGAGGAAGTTGTTTAAAGTTTTTAACATATTTGACCCCTGTGACCTTGAATATGGGTGAAGGTCATACATTTGAACAAAATTTGTAGCCCTTCATCTCAGCATGCTACTGGCCAGATATCATCACCCTGGGCATTTTGGTTATTGAGAGGAAGTTGTTTAAAGTTATTTTAAGACAATTGACCCCTGTGACCTTGAATATAATTGAAGGTCATTCAATTGAACAAATTTGGTAGCCCTTCACCCAAGCAAGCTACTGGCAAAATATCATCTCCCTGGGCAGTTTGGTTATCGAGAAGAAAATGTTGAAAGTTTTTAACATATTTGACCCCTGTGACCTTGAAAATGGGTCAAGGTCATTAATTTTAACAAACTTTGTAGCCCTTTATCCTAGTTTGCTTCTGGCCAAATATCGACACCCTAGGCCTTTCGGTTATTATGAAGAAGTCGTTTAAAGTAAAATATTGACGACGGACGGACGCCGGACGACGGACGGACGACGGATGCCGCGCCACGGCATAAGCTCACTTGGCACTTCGTGCCAGGTGAGCTAAAAACCAGACAAACCGGTTGTTTTGCATAAAGGAACAGGCTCTAGTAGTGTTTGGATTGTACAAAGGGTCATAACTCTGCCTGCCACCAGTAGTGTTTGGATTGTACAAGGGACCATAACTCTGCCTGCCACCAGTAGTGTTTGGATTGTACAAGGGGCCATAACTATGCCTGCCACCAGTAGTGTTTGGATTGTACAAGGGGCCATAACTCTGCCTGCCACCAGTAAGAGATTCCTTACCCTGGCAGGCCTCCCAGATACAGGAGTCCAGAGAAGATGGCATCGTCTGATGTCCAGATCTCTGGGATGGTGACGATTCGTTGCTCACGAGCTACACTACATCGGATATCATGTTGACTACGCTCAACACGAATCTGTTTCCACGCGCCAGTGTTTAGGGGTTCATTCGTCTGAATGTCCGATACAAATTCCACATCATTTATCACAAAGAAAAAGCGCAAAGCCTTGGCTGAAAATAAGAAGAATTTTGTCAGAAATATCGGAATGCATTCGTTTTAAGTAATTTGCTATTCATTAAAGTAACAATATATTACATTTTCCAATTTTCTTGTCTTGATAATCCTAGAGCTTTTCACAGTTCATTACCAGAATTGGATAGGATTCAAAGCAAAAGAATCTGACCTGTGATATTCTTTTCTGGGTAGAAAAAAGCAACAACGGTCTGAGGCAGATTTGAATTTAGAATTTGGGAAAACAAAATTGTTCTTCAAAAAAGACAACAAATAATTTATTATGTCTTGTATTTCTTACCTGTAAGAAGTTCTATACTGAACATGTTTGAGTTATTGAACTGCGGACTCTGGTGTAGAAGCACAGCACTCTGTTGGTGGGTACGGAAGCTGAATCGTAGGTCAAATGACGTCCACGGCTGCAGAACGATGTGGGCCATTTGTGCAGTAAACGTCACAGCGTGGTCCAGTTTGTTGTCATCTGTGGAAAAAAATGTCACTATTAGAGCAAATACAGTGTTTCTTCATATGTTTAGTACAAAATAACTTACTTGAGATTTGATTTTTACATTAAAAATAGTCATTTGAGAACACAGCTGCCACATACATCCTCAAATCAATATGTTCTTTGCAGGGAAAAACAATGATATTGTTAATCTTAAAATAATTTCAGGATTTTGTCAACTTTTTAATTAATGTACAAAAAATATTGTCAAAGTTTGGGACTTGAAATCATATTACCTGGTAAGGGAAAGTATTGCACTGGCCCACTGTCCCCCGCAACAGAAAATGTTGGTCACAGAAAGATAGCAATTTGTGGTTTTTTTTATCGAGGAAACTTTTACAAAAACACAATTATTATATGAATGGATATTTGACTACATATTGGTATATATCAAGTATAACCAATATGTATTTAAATATCTATTCATATATACAGCCTTCAGCTGAACTGACAGTTCAGATTTTCTCCACAAGGATACTTACTACTTCCCCAACACTTGAGGGGTCCCAGTGTGATGTTTGCGGTCCCCTTTGAAGATCCTCCTCTTTTGTTTAAGATTGTCAGTTCAGTGATGGGCAACTGTGCTTTGACGGAGTTATCTCCCTTGTCGACTACCACCGAGGATTTTGCTGTGGGAAAAAAAGATGACAATGAACATAAACAGTAAAAATTCTGTTAATTACTTGAATATTGAATATTTTTGTTTTGCAAATGTTCTTTAAATTGTCCATGGTCTTATAACTGTGCTTAAAAGTTGCCTATTGTTTTGTACTTTAAAAGTGTCTCTTGTTTTCCACCTGTTTTTCAAACAATTTTGTCATGGGAATTTTAATTCCACAAATAAACAGACTTGGGAGATATATGCATTTGAGATTAAATTTCCTCATGAATTGATTTATATTATGAAGTTTTTTGCAATCTCCATCTGTATCATGTAATCAACAATTGGTCCGGATGGTTTTATATTCGGTGGAAGAATAGGTCCAACACAATCCACATTTCTATATCTTTACAGTGACTACCTTGTGACTGGTATGCTGGACAGTATACATTTTCGAGAAGAAAAAAAAATCATTAAATCAAAGCGATTGTATATTGGAGACAGACCAACTATCACTTATTACAGTGGATTTATTATTTATGAAATGACAGATGAAAGTTCAATAGTTTCGAATAAGGGATCTATAAAATTTTATATTAACATAGTGAACTGTTGCCATAGTTACCTCTATCACACATACAACCATTGGCTGGACACTGGTTGCCTAGGGCACAGGCACAGTGTCCTGGGGTATCTGTGCCAATGGATTCCACAACTTGCCCACTAGCTGCCCTGAAGAATGTCAAGTCTCCAAGTCTGTCAAAGTAAATACTTTTAGCTTTATGGTAGGGAATTTCACCAAATATTTCTTGTGTATGCAGTTCATAAAAATTAACTTTCCTGCTAAATTTGTGTTATTCCCTCTAGGTCTATACAAAGACAACCACAGATTAATGGCTTTTTAGGGAGTGAAATAAATGATCCTCAGAAATGTGCAGAAAAGTTATAAAGAATATTAATATCATGATAAGAAGCTAAGAAGATTAGCTCCCAGTCATAATCAAGAGGCTTTGGGATTAATCTTTGCAGCAGACCTAAGATGTTTAAGAGATAAACAACACTTCGGTATAAGTAATTGGACAAGAAAATAGTCAGAAAAATACGAAACAATTTTGAATTCTTCTTACAACACAAACTGCTGGGCTGACAGGAACATGGAAGCAGCAATACTGACCTGGTAGGAGCGTGATTACAGCTATACTGACCTGGTAGGAGCACGATAACAGCTATACTGACCTGACAGGAATATGTAAGCAGCTACACTGACCTAACAGGAGCGTGATAACAGCTATACTGACCTAACAGGAGCATGGTAACAGCTATACTGACCTAACAGGAGCGCGGTAACAACTATACTGACCTAACAGGAGCATGGTAACAGCTATACTGACCTGACAGGAGCATGATAATAGCTACACTGACCTAACAGGAGCGTGATTACAGCTATACTGACCTAACAGGAGCATGGTAACAGCTATACTGACCTAACAGGAGCATGACAACAGCTACACTGACCTTACAGGAGCATTGTAACAGCTATACTGACCTAACAGGAGCATGGTAACAGCTATACTGACCTCAAAGGAGCATGGTAACAGCTCCCTGTTTTATAATCAAGAGGCTTTGGGATTAATCTTTGCAGCAGACCCAAGATGTTTAAGAGATAAACAACACTTCGGTATAAGTAATTGTACTGACCTAACAGGAGCATGGTAACAGCTATACTGACCTGACAGGAGCATGGTTACAGCTATACTGACCTGACAGGAGAGCAGAAACAGCTATACTGACCTGACAGGAGAGCGGTAACAGCTATACTGACCTGACAAGAGTGCTGTAACAGCTATACTGACCTAACAGGAGCAAAATAACAGCTATACTGACCTAGCTGATAGGAGAGCGGTAACAGATATACTGACCTAACAGGAGCACAATAACAGCTATACTGACCTGATAAGAGAGCGGTAACAGCTATACTGACCTAACAGGAGAGCGGTAACAGCTATACTGACCTGACAGGAGCATTGTAACAGCTATACTGACCTGACAGGAGAGCGGAAACAGCTATACTGACCTGATAGGAGAGCGGTAACAGCTATACTGACCTAACAGGAGAGCGGTAACAGCTATACTGAACTGACAGGAGCATTGTAACAGCTATACTGACCTGATAGGAGAGCGGAAACAGCTATACTGATCTGATAGGCGAGCGGTAACAGCTATACTGACCTGACAGGAGAGCGATAACAGCTATACTGACCTGATAGGAGAGCGGTAACAGCTATAATGACCTAATAGGAGAGCGGAAACAGCTATACTGACCTAACAGGAGTGCGGTAACAGCTATACTGACCTGAAAGGAGAGCGGAAACAGCTATACTGACCTGACAGGAGTGCGGTAACAGCTATACTGACCTAATAGGAGAGCGGTAACAGCTATACTGACCTAACAGGAGTGCGGTAACAGCTATACTGACCTGATAGGAGAGCGGAAACAGCTATACTGACCTGACAGGAGTGCGGTAACAGTTATACTGACCTGATAGGAGAGCGGTAACAGCTATACTGATCTGATAGGAGAGCGGTAACAGCTATACTGACCTAACAGGAGCACAATAACAGCTATACTGACCTGATAGGAGAGCGGTAACAGCTATACTGATCTGATAGGAGAGCGGTAACAGCTATACTGACCTGATAGGCGAGCGGTAACAGCTATACTGACCTGACAGGAGAGCGGTAACAGCTATACTGACCTGACAGGAGTGTGGTAACAGCTATACTGACCTGATAGAAGAGCGGTAACAGCTATACTGATCTGATAGGAGAGCGGTAACAGCTAGACTGACCTGACAGGAATATGTGAGCAGCTACACTGACCTAACAGGAGCGTGGTAACAGCTATAGTGACCTGATAGAAGAGGGGAACAGCTATACTGATCTGATAGGTAAGCGGTTACAGCTATACTGACCGAACATGGGCATGGTAACAGCTATACAGACCTGATAGGAATGATACTGACCTCACAGGAGCGGGATAACAGCTATACTGATCTGATAGGAAAGCGGTAACAGCTATACTGACCTAATAGGAGAGCGGTAACAGCTATACTGATCTGATAGGAAAGCGGTAACAGCTATACTGACCTGATAGGAATGATGTAACAGCTATACTGACCTGGAAGGAGCACAATAACAGCTATACTGACCTGATAGGAGTACGATAACAGCTATACTGACCTGATAGGAGCACGGTAACAGCTATACTCCACATATTGTTGACACTGATCAGACATCCTAGTCAGCTTTAGGAGAATCTCATGATTCATCTCTCTGTTGGAAAGAAATATAAAAATAGACAATTAGATAAGAATATATCAGATAGCTTTACATCTGTTTAATTAACACATATTTCCTTTCAATAAAAATGACTTTGTTTCAGTACGAAATCCCCTTTTCCGATATTATCTTATATAATAACCTATTGTATTACAACCATGAAAGGCTAGTTTGTACTTTACAGTAAACCTTTATTCAGAGATCACCTTAAAGGGGCTGGTCGGGGAAAAAATGTCATATTTGCTAAAATGGCATACACATGTTTAAAATACCTTCTTATGAAATATACCTATTCAAATTTTGCTGAAATTCACTCCTTAAGAGTAAAAATTATAATCATATTAAAGAAATCCTAAATCGTCAACTGACAGTCTAAAACTCTCAATTGACCCAGATCAGTGATGTAATTTTACCGCATGCGCGACATCAACGAGGTCAAATGTAAACATCGCGGCGAAAGAAAAAGATGCATGCAAAAGTCATGACAGGCACAAGGCATCAATACTGTTATATATAACAACAACATATAGGTAGGAATACTACACTTGCATCATACATGACCTTTGAAAACAATTATTTACGTATAGTATTGCTGTCTTGTTCGCTAGTTGAGTCCGACATGGCTGATAGACGGCGTGCTATTGTTGTTATCTTTATTGCCTCACTTTCGAAACAACCACGTGACATATATAAATAGATCTGCGCTAAATTTACGCGGGGCTTCCCCGGGATTTCAGTGGTCAAAACTGGACATTGCAAGTAGAACTCGACCATCATATTGCCGAGGTATAACTTTTGGAAGGCCAGTGAACGCATTTAGACCCATTTATTTTGTAATTTTTTCCCCGACCAGCCTCTTTAAAGAAGTCCATGAATTGGTCCTTTATCGAAGCTGGTCCCTTACAGGTTTAGTCAACATGAAAATAACTGTGACGGCAAATTTGAAAACGGCCTCTTGATTCAGGTGTTCTCTCATTAGAGGTGGTCTATCAAGTAGGTTTAACTATATATATAAATATACAACTTCCGTAAATTAAATTTCTTCATTTTAATCGATCTGTATATTCTTCTGTCAATTACCTAACTGTGCCTGGTCAGTCATAGGAAGTGTACATGTATAGGAGTGAAAATGTTAATGACCTCTGACCTCAAATTAGATATGACAGTGCAGTATAGTATAGCATAGCTGTATAATTGTACAAAAACAATACCTGTATGACAACACTTTCTTGAGTTCACCAAGTTCAGGGTCGCGAATTGGTGTATAAGGAGCAAGATTGTGTTCTACGACAGTAGCCCCAGTGACGTCATGGCCTCCTTGTGGGTCTAGGGTCGTGTGGCCCATTTCACACTGGGCATGATGGGGCTCCATTGGTCCCTGCCCATCTAAGTCCAAGAGGTAGACCCCTGATTCGGTGTACCCCGCCTGGTAGTATTCGTCACATGTCTGTTTGTATCGCGCTGTAACAAATATCCTGGTCAGTCATACCCGTATACTTCTCAATATCAGACAGGATTCTAAAAATTATCTTCCTTTTTTTCTTCCATGAAAATCTACTGAATTATCTCTCTTTTTAATTTTAATTTCTGGATCAAAATTATAATATAATGCAGTCACGAAAATAATTTATGATATAAATACTTACAAACTGAGCTAACTATTTGATTATAATCCATCAATGGATAAACTGAAAAATTTATCCTTCATTTTGACACTGACTGAACATGCTGCACTCAGTCAAGGAGAATTACTATCAGAGATGGCTGGTTTGACCAGTGTTCATCAACAGCCTCAGTCATATATAGACCTTGACAATGGGAGATTGTAAAAACTTACAGAAATGGCAGGTTTTTCCGGAGTAAGAGGTGGCTTCACAGTTACAGGAAATACCATCCCAGTCGGCCAAACACTGACCACCATGCTGACATGGTGGCCCATAGCGACAATGGTCAACTAGGTTACAGCCATCCAGAAACACTCCGTCCACAACATCACGATTGTCCATCAACTTGATTGGATCAATGGTCTCATTCTGGAGTTTTAGGTTTCGAATGCATCCAACAAATCCAATGTTTTCTAAAATACAAAGTTAAATTTGTTTTGAGAGACAACTAAAGACATGTTTTATAAATAAATATTTAAATTTCAACGATCACTTCTCTATAAGGTAATGTAAATCCAGGTGGTAATAACTAGATATAAGAGGCCTCGACGCTAAATAACATGGTCACATGACACGATCAACTTTAGAGTTTCTGCCTGGAGATCAAAGGACCTGCTTACCTGTATAAATTTTTGGGACAAAGCCAACGATGATTGCACCACTGACGTAGATTGGTTCCCCAACGCCCTCTAGAACAACTGACCGACTCCCAATACGCACCTTGGCCATCCTGAAACATGTCTTTTTCTAATGTAAAATCATACATAACAATTCTTAATTCTAAAATCATTGAAGATTTCTAAACTTGTGCACATAGAATTCATTGCCCAGTGTACTCCAGTCTGCTACACAGGAACAATTGACTCTTTAAAATGTCAATTGTTTCAATTTATCAGACCATGGGAACAATAAAATTATTGGAATCCTTATCCCATACAAAAAACTGCATTCCACAGCTTTGTTTTCAGTAACTACAGTATTAACCTGTATGTATGTAAATGTCTGCACTGAGCATTCCGTCTGAGATGTAGTGGTACCTACCCTGCCTTGAATTCTAAGCGCAGTGTGTGCCAGCGGTTGTTATTGACAACCATTGCTACTGTGGTGTTCCTTGTGTGGCTCCCGTTGCTAAGAGATGAGACGTAGTGTAAAAGGGGCTGTCCATTCCGTACCCAAACCTGTAAAATCATAAATCACTTTTAAATACTCTCACATACATGTACACTTGTAAAATTAATAACTACTATTACCCTCGTCTGTAAATTCAATAACTTCTATCATTCTCACCTGTAAAACTAATAATTACTATCACCCTCACCTGTAAAACCAATAATTACTATCACACTCACCTGTAAACCTGTAAAACCAATAATTTCTATCACCCTCACCTGTAAAACCAATAGTTACTATCACCCTCACCTGTAAAATCAATAATTACTATCACCTTTACCTGTAAAATCAATACATATCACCCTCATCTGATAAATCAATAACTTCTATCACCCTCACCTGTAAAATCAATACATATCACCCTCACCTGTAAAATCAATACATATCACCCTCACCTGTAAAATCAATACATATCACCCTCATCTGATAAATCAATAACTTCTATTACCCTCACCTGTAAAATCAATAATTACTATCACCTTCACCTGTAAAATCAATAATTACTCATACCATCAACTGTAACATCAATACCTATCCTATAACTAGTATAAGAAAATTCTGTAAAACCAGTCTTAGTTATGGTAGCCTACCTCCAGATTCCCTGTATCCACATTTCCGGGTGAGAGAAGATTGAAGTACAGCAGTACAGCATCCTGTCTGACAGTGCGGAACTCTAACTCCACGGTGAGATCCTGACCTCCGTACCCGTCAAACAGTAACATTGTTCCCGATTTAGGGAATGTCATAGGAATGTCCTTGACCTTGCGACAGCCCTGTTGAGGCATAGTTCCCCCTTTGAGTTGGGTCCGAGGGTCTTCTTCCACCAGACGAGGTAGAAGCGATATATCATTGACATAAACGTTTTTGAGACACCCAACAAAGTTCTGTGTGACCTGTAACCCTGTACAAACAAAGTGTGGAGTTTATTTTGAGCTGTCACATAATGCAGTACTGACAAAGATGTCATATATAGCCACACAGATCATGTATGAAATATATTGACCCGACAGTGATGAAACATTTAGCATTTACTGTATGTGAAAACAAAATCAAAACATAACTTCAAAAAACAAAACTTGATATCTTTTTCTGGATAATAATAGATGCTTTAAAATAGTAAAGAATACATTAACATAGAAAACTTGAGGTCAATTAGCTTTTCCCCAGGTTGATAATTTATGTTTGACTGAATGTGAAAGGCTACAAGAGTTTCCTCATTTAATATTCCTGATACCTGTGGCTGGTTCAACTAACATGAAACAGAAGCTACCAAAAAAGTAATTAATTGGACAGAATTCTTGATCTTCTTTTATCATTTGAATAGGACATTAAACAACTGTCTTTTCTCTGGAACAAATATGTATTAAATGCTTATTTTAATTAGAAAGTCATGAAGATACCTGGTAAGAAATTTAGAGTCTAAGGGAGCTAACTCCAACATGCTTACCCTGTGTTGTAACAAAGTTGTCTCCTCCTCCAAAGTAGATCTGTGGGTCAAAGCTGAGGTGGAAGTTTTGTGGGTCAAGGGAGTGCCTGTGTGACTCACCGTCCAGTAGGAAGTTCACCTCCACGGGGCTGTGGACAATGGTCAGATTGTGCCACCTAAATTATGCAAGGGCAAAGGTCATTTAAAAAATATCATTAAAGTCGTGGATTGAATGTTTTCCTTTGCAATAAGTGATAGACAAGGGTTTTATTATACTTAAGAACCTGAACAAGAGAAATTTAGTTACTGTACAAAAGACCAATTTTTTACAATAACAAAAGATTTATCTTAATATCACTACGTATAATTGTTAAGATTATGGAATGGATTCATATAAAAGTCAACAAGAGACTACTTACAGGTAATATACATTAAAGTCAAACCCTATTTAAAATCCAGATTCCTGTATAAACCAGACAATCAACTGTGCCTCACAGCTTTACCAATAAATAAACATAAAACCTCCTTATACTGCCACCAATTGTCAAGATTAATTTTGTCGTTATAAAATGTTTGGCAACATAACGTTGAGCTAGATTTATAAAAAAGGTGAAAAAAAAGGGAAAGAAGACCTTGAAACATTTTAGAAGTAAGTGAGGTGGTAAATCAAACTAGGGACATTATATCAAGGTTTTACCTTAAACAGTCAAATCGGTGTTAATAAGGGAAGGTCCCTTAACAGTGCTAGTCTCTTAATAGAGAATTGATATTATTTAGTTAACTGCTTTATGACGCTGAGAAAATGGTGGTCTCCTAATTAAAAAAGCGGCTTGCATAAAACTGTTTGTCTCCATGTATATGTATCAAGAGACCTCTAATATACTAAACAATGAATTTGGTACAACAGTATGAATATATATTATCCAAACTAAACTTGATCTGAAAATCAACCTTTTCTCAACAGGAGGATTGGTCTTGATGTCCTGTCCAGTTTAAACAAGATTAACAGTACATTCACAGTTAAAAGGAATTAATGGAGTCGGGTGAAACATGTTGTTCTTCATCACAGTTAGTATCTCAAAACATCTATTATAGCCGAGCTGTTAGCTGATCTCGGACAGACAAGCAACATGAACATTCAGGATATATAGAAATAAGTGATGGGAATATTAAAGTTCAATTTTCATACTTGATAATCCACTGAACCTAGCCAACACACCGATTCTGATCAGTTTTACACACTGGTTTTAGGAGGATTAAGGACAATGTGTGTTGCTCTTGTTGAAAATACAAGTACCGGTAACTCTGAGATAAATAATAACAATTGTTTGGGAGCTTTCAATCTGTTTATCAATATTTTACATTCATTACATACTGAACAGAAATGATCATTAAATGAAAATAAAAATCTTCATAATGAGTTGTAAATCACCTCTGAATAAATAGTTTAAAGGAAGATAATACCATGCTGTCTTATTATTGAGGTTTTTATGTGAGTTTCACAACACACAAATAGCTCCCAAGTTCAGCTTTCAAAACAGTCATGCCCTTAGCATTCAACATTCATAATGAATCTCCATAACGAAGGTCAATCATGCAGCATTGGTTAGTATCCAAGGTCATTGTCATAAGTGTATGACCTTGAACACTAGCCTTCTCTCACAAACGGCAAGTCCCTACCATTAAACATGATCTAATGTTTATCACAAAGGGCAGTTCCCTGGCATCAAACAGGATCTGAAGTCCTTATTTCACAAAATTAAGGTACCAAACAATCACGCCCTTAGCATTAAACATTTAAAATGGATCTCCATTACCAAGGTCAATCACGCAACATTATTTAAGATCCAAGGTCATTGAAATCTTGTTTTCTACTTGGTTATAATTTAAGCTCAGCTTTGAATAAATCAAAGGTCTCTTCCTCATTAAGCTCAAGAACACATCATTCAACAAGTTCTAAAGTTCCTTCTTTTCAAAGGTCCTGTCCACAGCAACAATCAGAATCCTAGCTCCCACTCTCAAAGGTCATGACCTCCATTTTGAATGAAATTGAAGGTCAACTTCTCAAAGGTCAAGACCTCAATTGGGATAGAATCTAAGGTCCCCCTCTAACAGGTCATGACCTCAGTAATGAATAAAATCTGATGCCCTCCTCTCAAAGGTCATGACCTCAGTAATGAATAGAATCCACTGTCCCCCTCTAATAGGTCATGACCTCAGTAATAAATGAAATCAAAGGTCCCCCTCTCAAAGGTCATGACCTCAGTGATGAACACAATCCAAGGTCTCTCTCTCTCAAAGGTCATGACCTCAATGATGAACACAATCCAAGGTCCCCCTCTCAAAGGTCATGAACTCAATAATGAATAGAATCAAAGATAGTTCTCTCAAAGGTCATGACCTCAGTAATGAATAGAATCTAGGTACTCTTCTCAAAGGTCATGACCTCAGTAATGAATAGAATCAAAGATAGTTCTCTCAAAGGTCATAACCTCAGTTATGAATAGAATCTAGGTACTCTTCTCAAAGGTCATGACCTTAGTAATGAATAGATACAAAGATAGTTCTCTCAAAGGTCATAACCTCAGTAATGAATAGAATCTAGGTACTCTTCTCAAACGTCATGACCTTAGTAATGTACAAGGTCCATCTTTTAAATGTCATGCCTTAAAAAATGACCAAACTGGATATCTCACCTTAACAAAGGTTATGACCTCAAGATATAATGGGATCTGAGGTTAAATGTTTGAACAAGTGATGCCTTTATCATTGAAGAGGACCTGAAGTTCATGCCATTCTCGCTGAACACTATCAACATGCACTGAAAGGATAGCCGAAGGTATGCGACACCAGTATAAGTTTCCAATTAAAGTCTCAAGAAGTATCAATAGTACAACATCCATAGTAATACATGCAGAAAAAGATATATCACCAGGTATGTAGCCAGATGTATGATAGATAACCCAGGCATTCGTTTCATGTTTTTCTCGTAATAGTTTTTCTAGCATTTCAATGTTAAGGTATGTTTGTCTCTGATTAATATCTTCTTTTCACTTTTTTTAATCTTAAGCTTTCAGAATGATCATCCAAAACCTCTCAAAAGCTGAAATCAGATGTCCAGATCCGTCACCTATGATTCATATGTTCACCTTGCAAAACCCTGGCTACTGTTCGCTTCTGATCTTCATTCAAAGCATTTATTTCATACCAATATTTTTTTTAAGCCAAGACATTGATTTCAAGAAAAAGGTCAGGCAAATGAAAGATAAATAAAATATATCCCTAGCAACAAGCCCAGAGTTATGACAACAATGAGACCAATGTTTGATGAAGGTAATTTTTTGAAATAAAAATGTTGAAGCAATAGAGGCATCAAGAACCTCATATTGTCTCAGAAAAAGAAGCAGAAAGGAAAATGAAAAAAAAAATATATAAATAAATCTGAGTTGTTAGAATATGGTTGACCAGGAAAAAATGCAAAAATCAACATTTTAAATGTGAAAAATGAAATGATTCAGTCAAAAATAAACAAATGAATAGTACAAGTAGCAAGTTTTAAGTAGCCATGATGAAAGTAAGCCGGGATGGTCTAAGACAACCCCCCTAACCGTAGACATTCTGTCGGTACATTCAGCTAGTACATTCCTGCCTCTCACACTTACCCTTTCAACCTCCTATCGATGGCCGCGTGAAAATGAGATGAAGACGATCAATGTGAATGACAAAAAAACAACATCAAAACAAGAAAATTCCAAAAAAAACATGCTTTTGATAACAAATTATACGGAAATAAAATGAAAGGTAAAATTGAATTTCATTTCTGTGTCTTATATAATTATGTATTGAGAAAAAAACCACTGAAAACAAGACATTTCAGAGTGACAGATAAAGATTTAATATCATGAGCAATAACCACTGCAGAACAAGAACTCTGTGACTTGATCTAGACTTGCTAATGCCCTATTTTCTTCAATCTTATATAAATTGCTGATATTTCTAGATATATAATTAAACATACATATCAGAGAGCAAAAACAATCTATCTATACATTTTTCCTTAGAAATCCCAGACATCAACTTCACCTGTATTTCAGGTATCATGAAAATTTATTAACGGGACATCTGCCATTAAAGTTAAGTTGTTAAATACAAAGTTGGGTTCTGGTATTCAAATGGTGGTTCAAAACTAGAGTTTTGGCATTGACAATTCCAAAATCCACCATTTATCCAGCAAAATATTGGCACAACAAATGGGACTAGATGTCTATCAAGAAATATTTCTAAAGGGCTGTTAATAAAAACAGCGGTAACTTTGAAATATATTGATGGTATAAACAGTGGCGTTTAAGTACCAGGGGCATGAGAAAGGAACCAAAGAGTTGATTTCTTAAGTGATTTTCTGCCACAAAGTGACGGACTAGGATGTGTTCAAAATGGCTCAACATTAATATACATGTGCAGATGTCAATTCTTTAATCTTCATCTTTATACCTTCCTCCGTCGATATCAACGATAACAGAAGTTTCAATCTTGTGCATGTGAAAAGGATTCATGTATGAAGTTTGAAAAATATTGTCACGTTTTGTCATGTTTTGCATTTTCAAAAATGTATCGAAAAACATTTTCTCTTTCCAGCAATTTTACAAAGTTCTTGTTTACACTCAAGACAGATGATTCGGTGTTCCCAAATTATTTTTTTAACTTAAAATCATATTCACATGCATGATAACACACTTTTTAAAAGTAATGAAATGTTTAATCATACAAAAATATTTTCATCAAGTACAAAAATAAGTGAAAAAAAATAAAATCCGTCAGGAGTGTTGAATACGACAAAAGAATTGAGATTTCAAAATGCAACAAGGACAGATTGATGATTTATCGTCGTCACTGAAGTATGTAGATGATATTGATGTTTATTATGGCTGATCATCCACACCTTAATCCTGTTTCTAACCTTATGAAAACTGTAAATTATTTATGCTTTCCGCCAAAGAATTATTTTTATATTAACTGATGGGGAAAGTAAAAAGTTTCCCAATATATTTTAACACTGATTTTTGGATTTTTATTTTTTTATTTTTTTATAATTGTTTCAAATTCAAAATAATTGAATCCAATCCATAAAAATAAATCTTTACGAAAAGTAAATAATTTACAGTTTGTAAAGTTTGGCCAGTAACACATGAACACCCCACCTCTGATCGTCCACGCCGATTCCCATCTGCTCTTGAATGACATCATCGCCAAATGCCATGGAGACTCTCACCGTGCCCTCATGGACCGAGGCAATCAGGTGACTGTTGTATGGTGCGCCACCTACTGCGTATATTAGTACTCCAGACCCTCGGTCAGACTGTTAATAAAAGTTGTGTCATTTAAGATTAAGCTAGGTTAAATTGAAAGCGAGGCAAGAGAGAGAGATCAACAGTATATACATACAGTATCATTATTAAGACATGAGCAATGTGTTTACATTCAGAAATTACATAATAGACATGTTGATACTTCATCATGTCCTTTTAAAGTTGCAAAAGCCAATTAACTGGCCTTGGGTGAATACATTTTCATATCACCCTCAAACCTGGCCAATGTTTAACAACGCACCTTGAACTGGAGACTGATACGTGTGTTATCCATCAACATCTTGTCTTTCGGTCTTCGGTACAGCTGATACTTGATCCACTCGTAACCGCGCAGCGTCACCACAGTCGTCTCTGTAACACGTAAGCTCTCAGTAAAACAGCGTTTTTCACGTCGACACAGTGTTGTATATGATGAAAATGGATGCAAAAAAATAAACACTGTCTATTCTATTTTCTTCACTAATTATAAAATAAAATTCAGCCTAATACATATACAGTCGAACCTCGTTATTTCGAAGTCGACGGGGTCGTGGGAAAACGTCTGAGTTATCCGAGTATTCGAGTTATGCGGGTTCATAAATTTGGTATGAAATTTGCTGTTTGGACAAAGCACTAGCAGTTATTGATCAATCGGTGAATGATATACATAATTAATATAACAAATACAGGTATGTTATTTTACATTAACGTGCAAAAATAGAGTTATTTTCGAAAAAAACATACTTTCCTTTATCACGATCAAAACGGTTGGACCACATTGTGAATTCGTTATTACATATGGACAGGCCTTATCATTAAATTGTTGTTTTTGGTCAGTCTAGATCTTGGCAAAGTCTTTCCAGGTCGACATTTGTATTTGCAAGTCCGTTAAGTTTTACTTCTGAAGTGTTACATTTAAAAATCGAACTATCCCGCTGTCTCCTACCTCATACTATACAATGCGGAAATGAAAATGTGCAAGTCTAAAACAAATCACTGTAATGGAGCGTACGCGTAGTTGATTCTTTAAATGAAAACACACACAAACCAATTATATCGTACATGTAACACATTGATTCATAAAAGCCAAATGTGACACCTGACACCTCTTCAACTCGATGTAATCAACAGCAATTATCGTATTGTTCTTTTAAAGCCATACTGGCTCCTGTAAAAACATGAACCCGTGAAGCTGTCCTAGGTTGTGATTTATCACGCTTTGTGACCAATGTTCCGGTTCCTACTGTCGTATATTTGGGTGTACGTAAAGAATACTGTTGATCAACATTGATGAAGTTTGTTTTTTATTATGAACAATTTTGTTTTGACAGGTCGTACAGTTTACAGTCTGAAGCTTTATCGTAAATTATTTTCATCGATTTCATGAAAGTCTACCCACGAAAGATGTTCATAAACACAGAATGGCGAGATATTGTACTTTTGCGTTTTATTTGTAGCAAAGAATTAATAAGTGACAAAATGAAATTCCAACATTATGCAGTAGACGATGTTTTGATGTTGGATTTACGCTATTGAAACCAATATCTTACATCGAGGTATCCAAGTTTTTCGACTTTTCAGGGTTCAAATTATCAGAGTTTTATTTACTAAGATAAAGAAGAGGTTTGGCGGGACGGGAGAAATACTTCGAGATAAACGGGGTGTTCGAGTTAAAAGAGTTCGAGCTAACGAGGTTCGACTATATAGTTAAAAAGAATTGAGCAAATGCAGCATCTTTAATTTATCAAATACATTTTCATATAATTCTTTTTATTATTGAACATGATCCTGTTTGAAATCTAGACCAGTTTTAATCAAAACTATGTTTCCCTTTAAGTAGTCTGACCTAGGATTTTTAATTTGGGTAGGAAAGTAGGGAAAATATTTAAGTTTACAAATGTCATTTTTTATTGGTTATCATTAATAAATCAATTAAAATTGTTTTGATCTGTGGAATGCTTTGATGTTAAACCTAGTACACAGATGTTAACATTTTCAACAACTTGATACATAACATCATAATGTATGACTTGAAGAAATGTCCGGAATTCTAAAAAAAGGTAAATAACTTCAAACTTTTTCACTACAGTATTTTAGTAAGTTAGGTTTAGGCAATCCTGAGGAACCGACACACAGAAATTTGAATGTAAGAGCATGGGATTGATAAAAAAAGACAATCAGACCGTCACATCTTAAACGGTATGTCTTGGATTATCAAATGCTAAGGAGAAGAATGGACAGATTTGAAGACTTACTTGTGCTGTTACAGTATTTCCCCTCATTGTCCGAGCCGAAGCAGTCGCAATGCATGTCCGTGTACTGGTTGATACAGCGTGTGCCTTGTGCACACTTGTTATGGGTGACACACAGGTCTACACACCCGGCCTTTACCCGATGTGTCTCTTCTGGTCGCACCTCCTCCCGACCAAATATAAGGTCTCGTAGGCACCCCACAAACTGGTCAAGACTCACACCACCTAAAATATCAGGATCAAATTTAGAATTGGAACCACAAGATTTATAACATTTTTACCCGCAAAATATAAGATATTATCAGTAGGAAAAAAACTATGCATTGAAGATATACAAAATGTTGTATCCTCAAATGTGATCTGAGACACCATTAAATATCCTCTATACACTGTCTGAGACACCATTAAATATCCTCTATAAACTGCCTGAGACACCATTAAATATAATCTATAAACTGCCTGAGACACCATTCAATATCCTCTATACACTGCCAGAGACGCCATTCATTATTCTCTATACACTGTCTTAGACACCATTAAATATCCTCTATACACTGCATGAGACACCATTAAATATCCTCTATAAACTGCCTGAGACACCATTAAATATCATCTATACACTGCCTGAGACACCATTAAATATCCTCTATACACTGTCTTAGACACAATTCAATATCCTCTATACACTGTCTTAGACACAATTCAATATCCTCTATACACTGCCTGAGACACCATTCAATATCCTCTATACACTGCCTAAGACACCATTAAATATCCTCTATACACTGCCTGAGACACCATTCAATATACTCTATACACTGCCTGAGACACCATTAAAATATCCTCTATACACTGCCTGAAACACAATTCAATATCCTCTATACACTGCCTGAGATGCCATTAAATATCCTCTATACACTGCCTGAGACACCATTCAATAGCCTCTATACTCTGCCTGAGACACCATTAAATATTCTCTTTACACTGCATGAAACACCATTCAATAGCCTCTATACACTGCCTGAGACACCATTAAAATATCCTCTATACACTGCCTGAGACACAATTCAATTTCATCTATACACTGCCTGAGACACCATTCAATATCCTCTATACACTGCCAGAGACGCCATTCAGTATCCTCTTTACACTGTCTTAGACACCATTAAAATATCCTCTATACACTGCCTGAGGCACCATTAAATAGCTTCTATACACTGCCTGAGGCACCATTAAATAGCTTCTATACACTTCCTGAGACACCATTCAATATCCTCTATACACTGCCTGAGACATCATTCAACAGCCTCTATACACTGCCTGAGACACAATTCAATATCCTCTAATTACACTGCCTGAGACACAATTCAAAATCTCTTATACACTGTCTTAGACACCATTAAAATATCATCTATACACTGCCTGAGACACCATTAAATAGCTTTATACACTGCCTGAGACACCATTTAATGTCCTCGATACACTGTCTGAGACACCATTAAATATCCTCTATACACTGTCTGAGACACCAATAAATATCCTGCCTGAGACACCATTAAATATAATCTATATACTGCCTGAGACACCATTCAATATCCTCTATACACTGCCAGAGATGCCATTCATTATTCTCTATACACTGTCTTAGACAGCATTAAATATCCTCTATACACTGCCTGAGACACCATTAAATATCCTCTATACACTGCCCGAGACTTAAAAAATACCATCAAAGAAAATTACAAGTTATCATGCAACAAACGATGTGATTACAAATATCTATTCTGACATTTTTGCAGCTCAAAATACACTAAGAGCTTAATGCAGAAAACGAAAGAAAATTCTAGGAAATCAATAAACCTTATCACCAACTGTGTGGGTATAAACGTGGTGATAAAGTCTAAAAGAGGCCCAGGGGCCTGAATAGCTCACCTGGTCTTTACTTATTTCAAAAACAGTATCTGTCTATCCAAAGGACAAATATGAGCTGGAAATAGGGAAGAATTATTCTTATTTTCTCTTAAATACGGCCCCATCCTTCTTGACCAAGAGGACTATACATTTCATTTATACAATGTGGATTTCTCTTGACCTAAAGGAATCTTTTATGCCAAATTCAGTTGAAATCACTATACCTGCACACAAGCTGTAGTCTATCAGGCCCTACTCCTCTGGCCCCAGGAGGCCCACCCTCTTAGTTTACCAACAATGACTCCCTTTTGACAAGGGATTCTTTAGAACAAATAAGTTTAAAATCCCTTTACATATAGTATATGATATTATTTTGTCTTGATTACGAAGACTGACCTCTATTTCCCCTTCTGATCCTTCATTTATACCACGTTTAATCTTGTCTGGCTATAGGAACGCTAGGTTACAGTTTTGGTACTTATAAAGTAATCTAGAGGACAGGCATCCTTACACATACTGTTGAGTACTTGAGACAAAACTACCAAATTAACAAAGCAAGAAAAAGCACCCCTACAGGTATGACCTACAGCATGTGTCCTACAGGTATGACCTACAGCGTCTATTGTTTTCACACGTATCATATATTTGGTTGAAAAACATCTCCAGACACTTTCTAAGTCCTATAGTACCAGCTTCATTGAACCTGATTGTTAGACTCATTGAGGAAAAATGATAAACAGATGAATTTAATTGAGATAAGTGTTGGCCACTTGTGAATGAATGCCGAGCCTAAGGTTGGTGTTTCCTGCCTTTAGAAAGATCTATAAGTGGCTGAAGAGATCTGTTCCTATGATGATTCCATCGTTACTAGAGTGGATCAAGAGATTTGTGCCGAAGGTGATATAAGTTTGTATATGATCCTACACTGTAGACACATTTGATCTATGGACTCTATTCAATTGAAAAGCCAGCAGATATTTTTCACTATTAAAAAGGTACAGGGATAAGTTTGGAATGATTGTAACACAGGAAATATTAAACCACATTTCCAAGCTGATCAGCATGGGGCTGGAATTGATCCGACGTTCTATGTTAACTTACACATGTACATCCATATTGATTGCTTAGGGTATAAAAAAGAAACATTTAGAAAATGTAATAGGAGAGTTAGAAAATTCCTCCGAGTTATTTCCTTATCCAATTATACTGATAGAAAATTACGCCTGCACAGTAGGAAACCACGTTCTTATCATTGATTTTTATCCGAACTCTCCATAAATCCATAAAAAATATCTCGTTAAATTATAAACAAATCAAAATAGTTCCAGACACAGCATGGCCTGTAACATCCTCCTATCAATAAAGACATTGTCAAGTTATTGCCTTTATCACAGTTGTATTTCCAGGATAGGAAATCTTCAGGTTGAACTTTTTAATATGTGAGTGTAATTCTACTTATTGTAGGTCATATTTTACAGACCAAAACGTAAACAACCCCAAGATGATGAGAATTTACCCTAAGAGCTTGAATATCACTTGAGCCTTCCCAGTGAGAAAGAAATTTCCAGATTTACTACTCAAGAATATAACTGAAAAAAGGGCCAGGGGAGCCGAGGTCGGAGGGGGGAGTTGGATTGAATTGGATTGGCTATCAATTAAATAATTAGTGGTACTTAAAGCTGCCTTATTTAGATGTTTTGTTTGAGGACTGTCTACTGCCCTATCTAGATATTTTGTTTGAGGACCAGGCCCTATCTAGATATTTTGTTTGGGGACTGTCTACTGCCCTATCTAGATATTTCGTTTGAGGACACTCTACTGCCCTATCTAGATATTTTGTTTGAGAACTGTCTACTGCCCTATCTAGATATTTCGTTTGAGGACTGTCTACTGCCCTATCTAGATATTTTGTTTGAGGACCAGGCCCTATCTAGATATTTTGTTTGAGGACTGTCTACTGCCCTATCTAGATATTTTGTTTGAGAACTGTCTACTGCTATATGGTATGACTGGTAACATGAAGCAGGGAACAGATAGTATACATAATATCACATAACCAGTGACACAAGAATGTGCATGGCAATAAGAAGGCCTGGGTATACAAAATTAGGGTTGAGGAGTGTGTAGAATGAAATATTGAATGACATGACATCTTGGTTGATGAGTGTTTAATCGAAATATTGTATATTGTATAACAGTGATATAAGATCGAGGTCAAAAAAGTGCTTACAGCCATATTGTATAGCTGGTGGACAAAGATTGGGGTCAGTTAGTGCTTACTGCCATATTGTATAGCTGGTGGACAAAGATTGGGGTCAGAAAGTGCTTACTGCCATATTGTATAGCTAGTGGACAAAGATTGGGGTCAGTAAGTGCTTACTGCCATATTGTATTGCTGGTGGACAAAGATTGGGGTCAGTAAGTGCTTATTGCCATATAAGCGATTAATTACACAACATTGGGATCAATGAGTACTTACTGCCATATCGTACGACTGGTGACACGAGATCAGAATCGAGGAGGTCCGAAGGTCGTGTCCATGTGAAGGTCCGTACACGTTTGTTGTGGACCTCTCCGTCTATGGTCACCTGTAGATGACCAGAGGATGTGTCCAGGGAGACCTTCACCTCATGCCATTCATCATCGTTATATTCTGTACACGAAACAGAAAAAATAATTCTTATCAAATACATGTATTAGCTCAAACATAACCAAGAAAAGTTCACTGACATGTACTTTCTTGTAAATAGCAAAACAATTAAATAATTGAAAAGTAATTTCATTCTTAAACTTCCTTTTCAGGAAAGATTAATAAAGTTCTGCTGAACTCCTGTTTAATCAAAAGAATCCTTAAGATTTCACTCTCACCATGACTGTATCCCTCTGTCTAATTAGATTTTATCATCTTGTACCACACTTTACGATATTGTCAGGAGATAAAGATTTCTTTCCCATTGGACAAAATAATCTTGGTGGGGTTTTTATTCTCTGAGTCATTTCGTAATTACATTAAAGGTACATGTCCACGATCTGTACTGAAACAATTTGTTTTTACAATGAAACCTGTCTAATCTGACCCAAGAGTAGTCTGACATCCTCTCTAATACAACAAAGATGATATTCTTACAGAATGTCAGATTAGACAGGTTAATTCTATTGGGTATTCTAGGAGCATATTCGTAGCACAGGCTACAAAATACAGTGTTTTACTAATTATTTTAATGACAAAGCTGTAATTTCATTAATTATTTATTGAACAGAGTCGTCTGAAGGCTTTGTTTCTATACCTTATTACAAGAACCTTTATGACTTGACATCTGTAACGGTACAGGTGATCACCCGCAGTACTTTGTGTGTGTGACAGTGTCTGGTTGTTATCGTCTACAAGTGTCACATGATTGCGATAGATGGAAAGACAGCAATGTCATAAAATTATAGTACCTAACAAAAAGCCATATGGCACATCTAAAGATAATGAAACATTTAATATCTGGTTGTTTTGTTTGAAATCTTAATGACATTTGAAGTTGCAGTTGGGAGTGCCAATATTTGTAGAGACCCATTTAAAGCATGCCCAGGAGACTTTGGCACGGCAAGCCCAGAAAACTTGCAACAGCTCATCCGCTGGATTTTACAAATAATACCTTCAATTTTAAGTCTAATGTTATCTTCCATTTCTCATCAGTTGCCATAGAAGTCATTAAAATGTAGCATACACTTTCAGTTTATTTGACAAAATTGATGTTTCATGCTTCAAGAGATATACACTCTATTTTAACCTGGAAATACATGTGCTGTTGCTCAATAAAACTAACACATTCCGTGCTAACGGCTCCTTGTTGATAGCTATACATACTTGTAACACTTCAAATTTGTGCAAGAAACATTAAAGAGTTTAAACCATTTTGCAGATTTTATATCTATGGTAAAGTGGAAAGCCCAAGGCCAGTATAATGGTGTGCATTATATACAATATTAGGATTGACATTTGAAGCATGATTGATTGGAACTTCACTTGGTCCATCAAGTCTGAATTCAGAGAATGATGGGGGATGGGGTTCCAGGTGTGATAAAGGAAGTTTCTTGAAATGTAGAAAAAAAAGTCTTTGGGAATTAGGTGCTGGGTTTGTGAGGATAGAGATTGTTGAAGTGGTGGTGGAGAGAAGGCGAGGTTGAGATGGGGAAGGGATGGGGTGACAGGCAGAGACAGAATGGATGCATGGGGGTGGATAGAGGAAGGTATGTGAGGGTCTGGAGGTCATGAAGACCCCTTTAAACCTATGGATTCACCACTCAAAGAAAGAGAGTGGGTGCATGGGGGTGGATAGAGGAAGGTATGTGAGGGTCTGGAGGCCATGAAGACCCCTTTAAACTATGGATTCACCACTCAAAGAGCGAGAATGGGTGCATGGGGGTGGATAGAGGAGGTATGTGAGGGTCTGGAGGTCATGAAGACCCCTTTAAACCTATGGATTCACCACTCAAAGAGCGAGAGTGGGTGCATGGGGGTGGATAGAGGAGGTATGTGAGGGTCTGGAGGTCAGTCATGAAGACCCCTGTAATTCTATGGATTCACCACTCAGAGAGAGAGTGGGGAAGTGGGGTGGGGAGAAGGGATTGGAGTGGATAGAGGAGGTACGTGAGGGTCTGAATGTCAAGAAAACCCCAGTAACCCTATGGTTTCACCACTGTAGATAACCTTAAACATTTTGTTACAGCACATTACTGATTTCATATGAGTATTTATTTCCACAATTGCATGTGAAACAAGAGGCCCAGAGGGCCTGAATTGCTCACCTGGATATCTAAGCAATCATGGCAAAATAATCTCAAAATGAGATCCAAGGGAATATGCCAGACACCAAGGCCAATTCTTGTATGTCTGCATTAGATTTGTCATGCCCAGCAATTTAATGTATGGTTATGGGGTGGGGATCTCAACCGTTTCAAAGTTATGACCCAGGGACTATGTCTCAAAGGGTGGGGCCAGACCCTAGGCCATCCTGGAAGCAAATGTGCATGCTGGATTGGTTCCCCTTCCCCCAAGGATGCTTCAGACCAAATATGGAACAAATCCTTTCATTCCTGCAGAAGAAGAAGGATTTCAAAGAATTAGCTATAATTCCCCTATAGGGCCCAGCCCCTCAGCCCCCAGGGGGGCCAGACCCACCATTTATACAAAATTTGTTCCCCTATCCCTAAGGATGCTTTTGACCAAATTTGGTCAAAATCTGCTTAGTCGTTTATAACAAGTAGTGATTTTTAGGAAAAGTTGACAGACAACAGACGCCGTGCCATGGCATAAGCTCACTTGCCCTTCGGTAGGTGAGCAAAAAACTATTCCATGAAGATATTCCTTACGGAATTAAACAACAACAGTTCTATGACATCATCAATTAATGTGTATATAGTTTGCATAAATGTGACATCACTACTGACATTTTTAAAAATAAATTCATGAAGACTTTTGATAGGATTGAAAATACAATGTAATTAAATATCTTTGTTATTGAAAAATAAATACATATATGGAAGCATCAGAAAGTGAGCGAGGTTAATCTATTTTTTAAATATACAAGAAAGAAGTTTATCGATGACAATTCCAAGATCTCCATCTTCAATCAGTGTGTCAGCAATGTTTGGTCCCCATTTTTCCCTGTTCTTGGTTTAACAGCAGAAGTAAGTACTAGGGCACCATCAGATCAAATCCTGCATGTTTTATAAGCTTCATGGATCATGATCATGTTTTTAAATGCTTATTTTTGAGAAATAATTAAGAATTGACAAATGTACATGTATTCCTGTGTACCTTTTTGAAAGCTATTTTGAATCTCTATAATGTTGTTTTACTTTCAAATTTTAATATTTTTGAGGATATTATGCTAAATAAGATTTGCTATAAAACTTGTCCTACTTAGCCTCATCAGGATTTGAGAAACGAGACCTAAGGCCGTCATCAGACTTCTATTTTAATAGTGTGTTTGATGCTCCACCAAGAGAAAAAAAAATCAAATCAATTTTTCTGGAGACACACAGTTTGAATAATCTGCCAAAATTTTAAATGAAATCTCATAACCAAGTAATACACAATCGAACGAGAAATGAATTGGCTAGAGCAACGAGGAAACATTTCAATTTTCTAGTCTGCGCCTACTTTGTCCACAATGGATTCTATTTTTGATTTATCACAGGGGCCACAAGGGACGGTCGAGTGAATAATAATCCTACATAATAAGGCACTACATCACACGGCTGTCTATCAGAGATGTAAAGGATCTCGTGTATGTATACAATGGCCGCACGATTTCAGGCTTCAGCAGACATTTGTTGTGTGTCTGATCGTAAGTGGGATACCAAACTGTGCATGAGCAATATGATAAATGACAAGCATTGTAATACAGCCAAATTCTACAGGGCTTTGTATCACAGGCAGTTAACTAAAGCCCCTGACTAGCAATCCCCATCCGGGCCACATGTGCTGGACTGGGTTACCCCCCTTTGATGTAATTATCTCTGACATCTGATCATCAGTCGTCATCCGCTCAGTTTCATCCAGTTAATGTTTATGTATACCTCTACCTAATATATCCGTTGTATATTCAGCTTAATGAAAAAAATTGTCATAATGAATACTAATTTCCTGTTTTTTCTTGGATGTCTACATCAACATTTGCATTCCGTAGATAATGGTTCATATGAAACCTTAAAGTTTCATCTTAAAACTTAAACTTTTATAAAGGTCAAATCACCATTAATATCGGAGTTCATGGTTGTCTGATAAGCTTACATTAATATCTTGTTCAAATTTTCAAAAAGTTATTTTTAAGATTTATTAAATATTTACATTTTTTTGCATTTCTTTTCAACAGATTTATTTAGGATCCTTTAAAATATGAGTTTAACTCTGAATTTTGATATTTTTTCAAAAAGATGAAAATGTACAAGATTTTTACAAGATGAAAATTAGCTTTATTTGCATGTTCTCAAGCTAACCGTTCTTTGGGCAACAGAAATCTAATGTACCTATGCAGAAGGGTACAGATCTACCCTTAGCGAACCTGTTGAACTCTCATACAGGAAAAGCAATACTTTTTTACAAATGTTTTTTTGTGTTTTAGGCCTACCCTGATTTAATTCTAAATTTCTCTGAGAGATGACAGGGAATGTGATGCAGAATATAACTGTTTTATAGTATTACTTATATAGTCTACATTACTGGTATTACATTGGCCTTTTAAGGTTGAAAATCCCACAACTTTTCCACTGTATAAAGGCACTAAAATCATTTTCCTGTTAAATTTATGTTATTTTGTCTATATTTATACAAAGACAATAGGAAGTTGCAGGCTATTTTTGGAGAGTTAACACTAAAATGTTTTGGAAACGTATGTCTTGTCTGAAAAATTATTGTTTTTACCATGTTGTGACTTAACTGACATATAGAACAATACAGTTCTAGATCACCCAGTGACATTTGCAAGCTTTTGGAGACTCCAACAAAATCAACTGATCATATGTATTTTTGCTATAGAAAATGGACAAAAAACGCAAAATCTGAAAAGTGCAGAAAAAATTGGAACTCTTTTTCTTTGGAGAAACAACATAAAGTGTTCAGACACTATCTACGTTAAATATGGGCAACATCTTTTTTTA